GTTAATGCAAACATTAAGAATTGAAAATATTAATTAAATAAAAATAATATGGTAAATTTTACTTTTTCATATTTAAAAAAATAAAATTAAAAGAAAAATCAGATAATAGATTCTATTTGTATGGAACACAACTACCCATTATCTTTTTTAATTCTAAAATAAATTTAAATTTTTTTTTAAAAAAAGCCTCTTGCAGGCACGGAAGCGTGTGTTGAAAGGCTAGTTCTTTTATAAACCTGCAAAATATAATTTTGTAATAATTTAAAATTTATGTATTGAGTTATCAATCCATTGTTTACATGGTAAGATGATGATGACCTTGCTACAAGGGTAACGTACGTGCTTCGGGGGTCTCCACAACATTGGTTGTAAAGAATGAATTTTTATAGCATTAACGTACGTGCTCTTTAATCTTATAGTATTGTAGGGGCTTTTTTCTTCCGGCAGCTACCACAGGCCTGGGCTGACGTAAATAGCAAAATGGATGAAATTGCCCCTTAAGTCTGGGTTCAGAGATCAAGCCCCAAGAATGCTTCGAAATGACAGTAGGGCCTTAGGAAACACCTTGGTTACCTTCACCAACGAAAATAATGGCTGCTTACAGATAAATTCTTGGCTTGGCATGAGAAGCTTGTGGCATGGGAGCAAAATCGACATGAGTTTAGCACTAAAGAGAAAATTAAGTGTTCCTAGGGGAAAGATGGGGTATTAAGGTAGGAGAGAAAGGGTTTTGCAGAGAGGTTTGGTTGAGAATGAGGGAAAGAGATAAGAAGATGGCTTGAGTGCTTTTTTCGGCAGCTTGACAGAGACTCTGTCGAGTGTCAGAACAGCTTGCCAAGAGGGAAGACTAAGGAAAAAGGATGGGCTAAGCACGAAATTGCTGGGTTTTTGGAGTAAGAGAGGAAGCTTGCTCTCTGGATGTGGTTGATGCTTGTTGGGTAGAAGAGGCCCTATTTATAGCCGTTGGAAGCTGACATTTTCCAAGAAACCCTAATGGTTCTATCCAACTTGGCCAAATCTCTCCCTTCCTTTCTCCCCTCATCTCTTCAATCATCCTATTTTGGTTAAATCCACTCAGCCCATTTGCACAAAATCAGGGATTTTGAGAGCTCAAGGCCCCCTTTCCCTCAGTTGCCTCTGAAGAATGCCTATTTTCAGATATCTTTTTTCTCCCCTTTCCTCTCCTTTCCATGGCCAGATCTGATGGAGAAAGGAAACGGGTATGTATGCTGGTTCAAAGGATTGCATCTTCCCCTTCGCGCCACTATCCCTTGGTCCTTCGGATGTTTCAGCTTGGAACTTGTTCCCTTGCCTGCGCTGGAGCCTTCCAGCAATTCTGCACATGTGATCCTCCTAACCCCTTCGTGGTTTTCTGCTTCAGCCAAGTGCTGAGGGCTTTGGACTCCCTTTATTCAATTTGTATGGGCTTTTTAATATGGAAAGCCAAGTTATCCAATAAGTGGGCCTTCTAAGATAATGGGTTGGTTTGTCAAAATAAATGGGCTAACCTCAACAAGTGTTGGCCTATTTTTTGTTGAGGTGTTGGGCTAATTTGGTTAAGCTAATGGGCTATTTCAGTTGGGCTTTTTGGTTGGGATATTTTCTCTTTGTGCTCACCCACATGTTTGGGCCTAAAAAATGGGCCTGAGTTCCGAGGCTCCCAAGCAACCCCGGGACTTCCATTTCTTGGCCCATCAATGGGCCTCATGTCAACTTATTACCATCCATACCACAACCCACTCAAGCAAGCCCCGGTGGTGACACCCTAGGCAAAGATATTCAATTTGTTTGGCTATTCCGAATTCTTATAGCATTAATGTACGTGCTCTTTAATCGTATAGTATATATAGATCAAAATGTTGGCGTGAGCCTTGATTTCCTGGTGTGATTCACATTGCCTAATTAGAGTAGTTACCTAGTTAGGATTCTTTGTAGGAAAGTCAACTTGTACTTGTATAAATATCCTCCTTATGGAGAAATATGAAATAATTCACAATCATTCAATTATGTGTTTTAAGTCAAAAGTCCAACCATAAATTCAATATTCTTATTTTTTTTTAATTACTTTTCTATTATCATCTTTTATAATTTAAATCAAAATTAAAAAGTAACAAGTTTTATCATATGATAATTAAATGTGGGAGTCATTTTAATGATATCGATATATAATTCATTTCATCAAATTAATGCAGAAAATATTGCTTCCACACTTGAATGGGTTGGAATGAAGTAGTTGACTGGGTTGGAAAAGCATTGTGGAAATGCCCAAAGACTTTATGGAAATTTCAGGCCAACTAAATGGTCCAAGTCTCTCGTTGGTGCCAACAAACGTTTTGGACTATTCTGGTGTTTCAGCATGCATATAGTATAACAGCTGTATTTGAAGTTTTGACTAATTTATTGTGTTGTTGATGGGAGTGGACTAAGAATTATTTATTTGGATATCTAAACTACACAACCATTCAAATACAAAGGGGTAAAATATCTATTTGAGTTTACTTCACAGTGTTATCACATGATTTGAATCATTCATTTTTCAGTTAATCATCGTTTATAAGAAGTATTGAGTTCATCTATTTATTTAGGTAACTTTTTGTAAGGATCATCTTTGAGTAATGACCTAAATCATGAATCTTTTGGTTAATAAGATGACACTGTGGACTGGGCATAGAGTAATGGCTAGTGGTATAGTAACTTAATAATAAGAGGTTAGAGCTTTAGGATAAATATTTAAAAATAATAATTAAGTAGAGGGGTTCACAGGAAATATTGACGTACCCTCATCTAAATATTACACTTAAAAGTTTTCCTTTTGGAAATTTCATTAGTCTTCACCTAAAAGGAAATTCCCTTCGAGTTTAGCGGAGAGAATGGTTTGTTCGCTTGAAAACAATATATAACCTAATTTATTGTCAAGTTGATGGGAGTGGATCAGAATCATTTATTTGGAGATATAAATTCAACGGCTCTATGCTTAACCCGGTTTGTAGGCTAATAAGACAAAATTAACCAAATCAAAAATCTTTTCTTCATTTAATAATTATTATCTAGAATATTTTTTGTTGTTTATAGAAGTATTGGGTTCGTCTAATTTTTTTAGCACAATTAGATGACTGATGACTGATGACTATGTCTAATTTTTGCCACAAACCTTTTCTCTTCTAAAATACTTTTTATCAATACTTAGTACATACATACTATGACTATGACTTTCAATTTAACATTTTGAGGATGCCCAACAACCATTGAAACCTCATGAGAACATGAGTATATGGTCAAAGTCTTCTCCAATAATCAGAAATGGAAAAAAGAGAAGTGAAATAATTAGCCAAGTAGTGTCAGTGGACAAAAATTCAAGCATTCACACACTGAAGAAAGAAAAGAGCAAATGGGAGTGTCAGGCTGTCGGCACAATGGTCCCCCTCCTAAACGCTTTGCGTACCAAGTTTCTGTTGATTTTTGTTGAGTTCAATTCTAGTGGGAGTGACAAGACGTTACACAATAGGCCACCAAATTTACATGTTTTACATACAAACTTATGCTTTTCTATTTTCTTGTTGGGTCCATTTAGGAAGACCATGCATATATGGCCCCAATTTACAGATTACAAGTTTCACCGGAAATGAAATTTTCCAGGGGTGTCTCAGAATGTGGACAACGATAAATAGACAAGTATCTCTCATAACAACTATGTTTGAATATTAGTCAATAGTTTTGAGCACATACTTGGTATCTTCTGCACCTTTGAGTTTAGCGGAGAGAATATGGACTATTCCCTTGAAAACAATATATAGACTAATTTATTGTCATGTTGATGGGAGTGGACCAAGAAAATTTATTTGGAGAACTCAAGGGCTATATGCTTAACCCGGTTTGTGGGCTAATAAGAAAAAAATTCGTCAAATTGAAAATCGTTTATTCATTTAATTATTATCATGAATATATTTTTTTTAAATTTATAGGAAGTATTGTGTTCGTCTATTATTTTTTCATCGCACATAGATGCCTAAATGTTTTCAAATTTGGTAACTTTTTGTAAGAGTGATCTTTAATTCATGACCTAAACAATGAACGATTTGGATCATTTTAATGATATTGTTAAGTTGACCCAAACGATTGGTTAACATTGTATTAACTGTTTTTTTTTTAATAATATCTAGCAAATACATATTATATGGTGTTTATATCGGAACGGTGGTGACACCCTAGCTAGGTAAAGATATTCAATTCGTTATAGTGTGGCTATTCCCGAAAGCGATATCTTGCAACTAAAGAATGAATTCTTATTATATGTCATCTTTTATAATTTAAATCAAAATTAGAAAGTAACAGGTTTTATCGTATGAGAATTAAATTTGGGACTCATGTTTCTTCTTTGAAGTCGATATAATTCATAACAGTTGGAAAAACATTGTGGAGATTTCAGGCCAACTAAATGGTCCAAGTCTCTCGTTGTTTCAACAATAAGTAGACAAGTACCCTCTCATGCAGTATAACAGTGGTGTTAGAAGTTTCGAGCACAATACATGGACTCTTCTGCACCTTTTGGACTAATTTATTGGCATATTGATGGTAGTGAACCAAGAATTATTTATTTGGATATCTAAACTACACAACCATTCAAATACTAAGGGGTTAAATATCTATTTGGGTTTACTTCACAATAGGCGTGGGCACAGTCCAGTTTGGACCGGTTTTCATAAAAAAAATGGAACCTGAACCGAAAATGCAAACCGGTTTGGTTTGGACCGGTTTTGCTTAAAATGCACACAAAAATCTGAACCAATCCGGACCTATCCGATTTCGGTTCGGTTCCTGCGGTTCCGGTTTGGGACAGAGAGAAAAAGATTATCGTAATGCTAGAAGCCTAGAAGACAAAAAAATGATATCATAATATCATAATACCATAAATTGCAAGCTTGTCTCTTGAAAATGCGGCAAAAATAAGAATATCAAGTTTAGATGTACATCACACATTCCAAGTACAAATGAAAGCAAAATTGAAGCTCAACCAAAATAAAATAACGTACTGTTAAATTACTTTGCTTGTATCGCATTGCAAAAGGTTTTTGACAAAGCAATGTTCTTGGAATAGAAAGAGTTATCAAAGGAGGTCACACAAAACAATTGACAGCCAATACCAGCACCTGCAGAAATTGTCAAACAAGTGAATGCCCAAAAGGATAGAAGTTCACCAAACTACAACAGAATATGAGCATTGCTTATGGAACAAACCTTTACTCCAGCATCTCTTCTTGCCAGCATATTTTCATAGCTTCCCTATATTGATTAACCAACTTTTAAATCTACTGAAACACAAACCAATCTAGATCCAAACACAAACAGAGTATTTGAAAAACGAAAACAGAGAATTCGATTCAAGAAAACAGAACTGCCCTTTCGTCGGAGATCCTTTGACATGCACTTGTCAAATCTTAAATAACTTAAGGCATCTTACTGTAATTCCCACTCTTTTCTTCAGCATTTTCAGAACCTCCTACAAGCAGGAAGGCAAAAAACATAAATGTCCACTTCAAAATCCTACCCTTATTAAAAAAACTCAACCAAAGAACATCGATTTGGGATCTCTGATTTTGCTAGAGGACAGAGAGGGTAGCCAGAAAATCGATTTGGGAGAAGAACAAAAAAGAGAGACAGAGAATCAAACCTGTGTGACGGCGGCGATTGAAGAGAGGCTGAGAGAAGAGCTGCAGAGAGGCGTGACGTGATGGCTGAGACTGAGAGAGAGGTTTTGGCAGAGGGCGGGTGTGTATGAAGGAACGAAGAAGAAACGAAATGGAAAAGAGGAAAACGAACGAAGACAAAAATACCTAGGTCATTCAGCGTCTTTTTCTTTTCCGTGTGATCCTCCCCATCGTAACAGCGTACACACCTAAGAAAATATTTATATAATATATATAAAAATTAATTTTTTGGACCGGTTCGAATTGAACCGGTTCCTAAGAGTGAAAAACCGGAACCGGAACCGGTTTAAACCGGTTCGGTTTGGATTGGACTCGGTTTTTGACTTTTACAGTCAACACGGTTTTTTACGGTTTTTTTCGGATTGATTTGGTTCGGTTTTGCGGTTTTGTGGTTCTAATGCCCACCCCTACTTCACAATGTCATCACATGATTCAAATCGTTCAATTTTCTACACAACATTGAGGTCATCATCGTTTTTGTAAGAAGTATTGAGTTCATCTATTTATTTGAGTGGAGTGGGCATAAAGTAATGGCTAATGTTGTAATAACTTGATAATAATAGGTTAGAGCTTTTGGATAAAAACTTAAAAATAATAATTAAGTAGAGGGGTTAACAAGAAATATTGACATACTCTCATTTAAATATTACACTTACACGTTGAAGAAAAATTAATATTACAAGAAGTTTATAGTTCTAGTGATTAAGATCATTTATTTTTACTCCGGAAGATCAATATTCGACTCTTCTTCCTTCATAAGTGTTTGTATGAAAAAAAATATAAATACTAACAATTTTATTCACTTTGGTATATGGTCAACCATAATATATGGCTTCATATCCTCAAATTAATTATAGCATGTATCATGGGTCACCCCATTTTTCCTTTCTATAATTCAAAATACACCATTATATATGAATATATAGCAAAAGAGACACTATATCTTAGTCTCAATTATAACATGTACTGCACGTTTGATGAATTATTGCTATCTAATTAATACTTTACATTGAAATTTATTGAACTCAAACCAGTTTCTTAATTAACTAGTACTATCTGCTTAACACACGGCAATACCATAACAATCTTATTAATTATAACAACACTCGAAGACTCATCTCATAAGTGAGCGGTATAATCCATGCAGACATAGCT